TATGTACACATGTGTACTCAGAGGTCTTTCTGTGACATGAAGAACCCACATGTTGCACAACCCCATTTCTGTTACAGTCAGCCTATATAAAACTAGAATACTGCGGGGCGCCCGGGTGGCTCAGTCGATCGAGCGTCCGACTCTTGCTTTTGGCTCAGGCCATGATCCCAGGGTCGTGGGATTGAGCCCCGCCTTGGGCTCCTCGCTGAGCTTGGGCTGCTGTTTGGGATGCTCTGCCTCTCTTCCCCACGCTCTCTCGCTCTCAAGAATAAATAAATAAATTAAAAAAAAAAAACATTTAAAAGACTTTTGGACAGATGTTGCGGGTGGACCAAGGTTCTTAAAGGACAAAAAAAATCAAAACTCATGTTTATTCTTCTTCAGTAAGTTTCTCTTGAGCTAACGTAAGTATTACAAATGTTTTCAGTGCTTGTAAGCTTACAGAGGGTAGGGTCCGAACCCGACACTACCATCCAGAGTACCTGAGCATAGAACGGGAGAGAGGTGGTGGCAGGGGGCTGTCCGGGCTCCGAGCTGCCCCACAGAGTGCCTGCCATTCACCTGAAAGCAATCTGGGCTTCTACTGATGCTCTCACTGTCCAGCGATGGCTGATCTCCCCGGCACTAGTGTTTTCATTAGGGTATCTTCACCAAAAACAAATACTCTAATAAATATGCTTCTTTTCTTTTCTTTTTTTTACTCTAGAAATCAGTGTGTTTGTTTGTTTTTAATTTACCAACAGTTCATGTCCTGAGATGCCTTTAAGAGGCCAGCAAGTGGGGGCACCTGGGTGGCTCAGTCGGCTGTGTTCAACCTCGGCTCAGGTCATGATCTCAAGCTTCAGGAGTTTCAGCCCCATATTGGGCTCTCTGCTATCAGCAGAGAGCCCACTTTGGATCCTCTGTCCCCCTCTCTCTTTGCCCTTTCTCTGTTTGTGTGCTCATTCTCTCTCTCAAATATAAATAAAAACATTAAAAAAAGAAAAGAAAAGAGGCCCAGTAAACTTTCAGTTAAATAAACAACCATTAGGCTGAGACACTCTGTCAAAATGGGCACAGTTAGCAAGTTAGCAAATCTAGTCACTTAAGAATTTTAGCCTTGACAAAGATACTTCAGGGGGAGAGAAACTAAAATATTCTAGCCTAAGGAAGTGTCTCCCTAACCCCAGTGACTCAGTCCAAATACACTGAAATATTTACTCTCCCTCAGATCTTCCTGGGCTTTGCAGGAATTTAGATTAATCACCCTTTAGTCTCCATCCTGGGTCGGGGTGGTGAGGGAGGGCTTTCATTGTCTGGTTAACTACTGGGGATTTTATTTCTAGGGAGGGTGCAGGAAAGGAGGAATATTTGTTGAGGGTCTCTTGAGAGCTAGTTTGTGGATTTCTTGCACATGCCAATGAGTACTGAGCACCCAGGCAAGTGGGGAGGCAGAGGGGTACCCTGGGGAGATCACTGACCTCCGTGTGCCTTTATCCATTCACTGAACACATGCTCACAGGGCAGGCCCCATTCTACACGCAGTAATGGGTAAGACATGGCCCCTGCCTGCAGAGAGCCAACAGTCTGGCAGGGAAGACAACGAAACAGCAATTAGAGTAACATTCCACAAGTAAAATTGCGAGCTCCTTACCCATAGAGGCCCTGCTTGATGAGTCCCTGCGTCTCTTCCTGAACTCACTCTCTACCGCTGGCAACCCACTCACCATGCTCCAGCCACATGGTTTATCTCACTGTTCCTTGAACAGGCTGATCTTGTTCTGAATTTTAGGGCCTTTGCACTTACTGTACTGCCTGCTTCCGCAGCACTCTCTCCAGCTCACTGAAGTCTCTGTTCAAAAGTTACCTCTGCCTAGAGTCTTCCTTCACCACCCACCATCCAAAAGGACCCCTTGTACCCTTCTATGTCAGTACTGGATTAAACCAGGTGCTGGTTGTTGGGTGTCTCCCCATCAGAATGTACACACCATGAAGGCAGAGCTTATCAATCCTGCCCACGGCAGCCTCCCCAGAATGATGTCTGGCACAAAGCAGGGGTTCAGTACAGATTTACTGACAAATAAGCACAGTGATAAGGGTGCTTCAGCCAGTAAGATAACTCATTCTGGGGATACCAGGGAGGGCTTCCTAGAGGAAGTGACATCTGTTGGGGGAGATAGACAGAGTTTGGAGAAAGGGGTTGCCATGGAGAGGAGGCAGAGAAAGCCGGGTAAGCTGGCTGCAGAAATCATGTCAGAGTGCTGGGCCAGCGATTTCTGGATTACAAAACCTTGGCTAAAGAGGTGACAAAGAGCACATCCATGCCTGGCCTTCCTCAGCATCTGTGGGACTCTCCCGCTCATCTTGCCTACGGCAGAGCCGCCCTGGAAACCACCCCTCCCTGGAAACCAGAGAGGGCACTCTGCTCAAGGGCGCCCTCTCGTGGCCAGAGTCCCTAGAATGGCTTGCTCCTCTGGTTCTCCTGTCTGGCCCAATGCCTCCCTTCTCTGATTCTGATTGTCTCCCTTCACTAGAAACCAACGAACAGGTATATGGACCGTCAGACAATCACCTATCTACTGTGGCAAAGTTGGTCCTTTGGTAAAACTAGTTAGACTTGGCATTTTACCTTGTTTAAAAGTGGGGGTCAGCATACACTGAGCACGTCCTCTGTTCAGAAGACATTACATGCATTCGTTAACTTAATCCTCACAGTACTGGGGACTGTGACTATCAGTGTCCCCACTGCACAGAAGAGGAAGATGAGGCCCGGAGAATCAAATGGAACTCAGGTCACTGGGCAGCCTGCTGCACAGCCACGATGAGACTGTGGCCCCCAGCACGTTGAGGGTAGCAGAAAGGCCAGACCCTGGGCAGCTACGCGGAGGCCGGAACAGCACTCGGTACAGTAGAGCTTGCAGCCGCCCCCAGCCCTGAGCCGAGCCGCCTTGGGGCAGGGCCCGGGGTGCCACGGCGGCAGGCAGGCTCAGCCCACCCCCCTCCTGTGCAGATGGCCCAGCCCTGCTGCTCGAGCGCGTGGCTGCGTCTCTCAGCCTGCTTCACCATTTATGGTATCTCAGCCTCTGTTTGGCCTTCACAGGCCAGTAAATCCCCACACCGGGAGGGAGTTCTCACCCACACAGGGCTGTCCTCAGAGCAAACCCAAAGGGCTCTGGCAGAGTTCTTGCTGAGGACCTGTTTCTGCTTTAAAACATGTTTGGATAGGCAATCACCCCGGCCTCACTCCTCCCACAGACCTGGGGACATGGAGGACAGCCCCAAAGACCCCTTGATCCTTTGTCTGGGGACCCCCACCTCCAGTAGGGCTATTAGGGTCTCTTTAATCCAATCTAAAGCCAGGCAAGTGGGGACAGGCACTGGATTAGCAGGGCCGCTGGCTGAAGCTAGCCAGGAGAGTCTCAGACAGTAGACTCATCCCACGTCATTCTGGCCCTCTCGCCTGTTACTAGACTGTGGGGTAGGCCGTGTGGACCTCCAAGGAGAGTCCCCTGTCGGGAAGGTGAGGGCCGCTGCCAAGGAGAGGAGGCTCAGATCTCTTCTTGTTTCATTACTACAATTTCCCGAGGCCCCTCAAAGAGCCATGAAATGAGATCTGTGAGGATAAAGGGGATAGATAATGACAGCCAGAATTCTGGCTGACAAATTCCCAGGAGTCAGACTCAGGCTCCCACCTGGGTGTGAACAGCTTCCTGAAAGGAAACAGAGGCCAGGTCCCGAGTGATGACTCCATGCCAGAGAACTTCAGAGATATTGGGGAGGCCAGGGCATGTGCCCTTTCTTGGCAGGGCACCTCACAGAGCCAGCCTCACCATGAGCCCCTTAATCCCTAAGGGGTGACACTGCTGAGCCCATGGGGCCCAGACTCTCCCTTTGGGCCAGAGGATGCATGCTCTAGAAAAGGGCCAGGCATGGGAATGAGCACAGGCTTGGGGTCATGAGGATGTGGGTCTGAAAGGCCAGCTCCACTTGCTAGCCTGTGTGCGTAGGCAAGTTGCATTAACTTTTTGAGACCTCCAGACCCTTCTGTGTAAAAGAGGGAGAGCACTGCCCTCCCCAGGGCTGCTGAGGTCTAAAGAAGGAAGTATTTAAGGAAGTAACCAGCACATGATTTTCCTCTTGCCCTTTTCAGTGAAACCATGTCCTGTGGCCTCCACACAGAAGGTGGCTTCTCCACACCCAGAAGGTGGCTGTTCACGTTACAGGGAGACTCTCTCCATGAGGCCTGAACCCTGGGGGATGGAGAGAAGAGACATGGTCTCCTGCCAGTTTGCTGGGAAAACAGAGCACAGCGCACCCGGTTCAAGCACCCAGGCCCCAGTCACACCCAGGAGCTGGGGGCCCAGGCTGGGGTGAGAGTGGGGAGGCAGGCTTACCTGAACACCCTGGCCCTGGGAAGCATTCCCCAGGCACTGTAACCATGCCTGCTGACACCACAGCACAGACAGCTGTGTCTTGAGTGCTGTGGCTCCCCTGAAACTTCCTGGGACTAAAGGCTTGGCAAGGATCAATGGATGACCATGATAATCAGATTACTGGACACCATGCTGGTGATGTATGAAAATGAGCCCAGGCTGGTGGGGAGGAGCAGGGGCAGAAGGAAAAGGGGAACAACCTGCAACCCTCTCAAAGCCTCAATACCAGCACTCTGTTACCCAGTAGCCCCCAGCACGGGAGGTGGCATTTGTGAGACACCTAAGTCCTAAGGGAGTACGTGAGTTCTCCTTGTAAGTCATTTTTCAGTGTGCAAAGTCTTCACACTGGGAGCTTCTTCAGCCAAGGGAGCCCTCGCCTCCTTCCCTTGAATCTTCCCTTAGCCCAGGTCGGGTGAGGAGGTAGGGAATTGGCTTTTGAATATTCATCTGCCCTGGCACACCCCTGTCACTGTGAGGCCATTCTAGAGGCTATTTCCTCCACCTGCCTGCCTTCAGGTGCAGTGCTCTTTCTCCAAAGCAGATGTCTGCAGCAAAGGTGCTTCTAGAGAGGTGCCCAGAGGCTCCTACCATGGACAGTGACCCGGGCGCTGCAGGACACCTGCCCCAAGGTGTTCTTGGCCAGACAGGTGTAGATGCCATCGTCCTCCGGCAGGGCGTCCTGGATGTGGAGCTCGGCCACACCGGCCTCACAGGAGGAGTGAGCGTACTGGATGGGCTGCTCTGTGGAGGCAAGCACAGGAGGGCTCAGGCCAAGGGGTTTCCAGTGGAGGGGATGTGAACCCTGTCCTCTGCAGGGCTGCTGTTGTCATGTCGCCACGCTTGCTCAGATCCACCGGGGGCCGATGACATGGCAGGCCCACTCCTAGCCAGCTGGACAGAGGCTTGCAGGTGCCATGGAGGGAGGTGCAAGAGCAAGGCTGGGGTGGGCAGGACTGTGGGGGGAGATTCTGGAGGCACTGAGAATGCAGAAGGGCAAGGGACATAGTTCTGTGCATTTTGTTTAAACAAACAGTCCTTACATCCACATCCTGGACTTCACAGAATTCTGAGCCTGGAAAGAATCTTACAGGGTCATCTGGCCCATAGCCCAGCTTCAGGCACAACAGGCCTCACCCAGACAACATGAGGCTCCTGGCTCCTTTTAGACATCTCCAGAAATAATGACTTCATTCCCACTGCATATATTCATCAGAAGGCAGTTGTGTGACCTCCACCTGATGTTGCAGTTGGGTCCATTTCAGTACATTTTAGGGTCCATGGAAAAGATAAATATGGGAAACTAAAAATGACTCTAGTCCCTTCTTCTCAGAGTCCCCACTACAAGATGCCCTTTATTCCGGTCACATAGAGTCCTTCATGGAGATAGAGGCACATGCTATGAACGTCATTGGTTTCCTTAATGCTATATGTTCCTGGGACTTTATTATTCCAGGATGTGAGCTTTCATTTCCAGGGGGAAAAAAAAATCTCATTACTGAATATTCTGGCCTTAGAACAGGAATGTGTCCATTCACCATATTGGAAGCAACTGTCAATTTCTTCCCTTGTCAGGCTCCAGGGTCCTGGTTTGCATTTCATAAAATTGAGGGTGGGCGGTAGGGGAGGGACAAAGTGCAGAAAGAAGTCCTCTCCCTGCAATGCAATGTTTTCTTAGGCACATAGCAACACTTTGTGTCTCTGGGACAGTCTGCAGAGACTGCCAAGCAAGCATGCCATAGGGCGGGAGAGAAGAGATTCTGCCCTACCTACTGCACTTCATGAAGGGGGTCAGGATCCTGCTACTGAGATGACTGAACACTACTCTTTGCTTTTTGCGAAAATGACGCCCTAAAACCTATCTTCCTTGAGAATACCAGTACATTCCATGACTGCCATCAAAGGGCCTCTGCTGTCGAAATGTGCCAATAAAATGTTTGAGACCTCTTTTGTTACTGGGGGGGTAACTCATTTTGGCCCTACAAGCGTGGGATGGAATGGTGGCCCCCAGAAAGGAGCTGTTGGCTCAGGGCACTCAGAATTATAGAATTGGGAGACCCAGAACTCTCGGACCCCAAGACTGGGAAGACCAGAGTCAGCAGCCAAGGGAACTTGAACACGCTCTCCCTCTAGTGGTAATGGTGTGGAAATGCCAAGATTCACCAAGAAGAAGAAGGTGGGGTTGCTTTTCCCAGTCCTGAGGGGTGCAGTCCAGGGGTCAGCAAACTATTGCTCACAGGCCCAATCTGATCTTCAGCCTGCCTTTGTATGGTCTGGAAGCTAAGAATAGTTCTTACATATTTTAAATCGTTGAAAAAAAATCAAAGGTAAAATATTTTGTGATCCGTGAAAATCATATGAAATTCACATTTCAGTGTCCACAAATAAAGTTTTATTGCAACACTGCCATACTTATTCATTTACAACTTGCCTCTGGCTGCTTTTATGCCACAGTAGCACAGTTGAGTAGTTGTGACAGAGGCTGTATGGCCAGCAAAGCTGAAAATATTTACTATCTGGCCCTTTATAGAAAATGTGTCTGGACCTCTGGTCTGGATTCTGAGCCAGATGGAAGTGAAACTCTCTTACTCAGATCCTTGACTAGTCTTTCATGCCCATGTTCTGTTCCAGCTGCAAGGAGGCTGCCTGTTTGTAGTCAGTCACAGGATCCAACAGAAGCTCTGTCCATAGTGAGGAGTGGAGGGAAGGGCGACCTCAATTTTCACTTATTTGTCCAAGAAGATGACACATAGAAAGACTACATGGAACCTTCTCTCACTCACTAGAGATAATTTCTACCACAGCCTAAGCAAACTATACCAACTAGGAAGGTTTATAGGTAACACGTCAACGGGATAAACAACTAGGGGCTATTTGGTGCATAGGTGACAGGGTGCCGCTGTCCCTTGAGGGGCATATTCTATCAGCCCTGAAAACTGGCTGAGGTCCCAAACCTTTTGTTCCAGCCTATTTCCTCACCCATAAAGAAGCTGATGCCCAGAGAGGTAAAGTGGGGTGTCCAAGGTCATCCGACCACTCGATGGTAGAGGAGAAGTGCCCTTTGTCTCCTGATGGGCAGGTGCCCCTTCACCCTCCTTGTGGATCCCCAAAGCAGACGCTGCTCAATGGCATCAATGTTATGAAGTGTTGTTAGTTCTAAAATTAGATTCCTCCCATAATTTTGGAATTGAAAGGCTTTTTTAAAAAGAGAAGAGTGATAATACGAGATAACCAATTTTTTTCCAAAAGACCTTACCAGGCAAAAACAAACAAACAAAAAGTTGGCATGTCTCTCTAGGACTATACCATTAAAAAAATTACTGGTCTATGAATCCCCAAACCAACTGCCACTAAATAAAAGGTGAGGTTCCATGAGTAACTTCCAGTGTGGTTCACTAATTTAATTTGTTCATTTATTGACTCAACAAATGTTTATTGAGGGTCTACTATGAGCCTGGCCACAAAAATGAACTAGATTGCTTGTGCACCCATGTACCAGGCACGTTAACTGTTTTGTATTAAGGAACTAACTTAATTTTCACATCTGCCACTCTGGAAGGTAGTTGATGTTATTCCCATGTTGCCGGAGCTCAAGGCTCAGATAGGAATAGTAACTTGCCCAGTGTCCCCAGCCGGGCAATAGTAGGCTGTGATCTTTCTGCACCCTGTGACCTTTGTACCCAGCATTTCCTACTTATGCATAGATGGTTCTGAGCAATAAATGGGGGAAAGCCAAGTGAGTATACAGGCAGGGCCAAAGGGCCCAGAGGGCTGGAGCAGGGGGAACTCACCATTGAGCAGCCAAGTGATTTGGGGGACCGGGATCCCCTGCACTGAGCACTGCAGCACAAAGTCCTGGCCCTCAATGACAGTGCAGTCCTTCAGGACACTGGAGAATGAGGGAGCCACCTCCATCACAGCCAGCTCTGCAAGGGCAAAGAACAGACAGGCCACCTCAGACCACCCTGGCCTGCTCTGGTGACAGACTGCAGTCACCCTGAGCCTTACAGGCAGATGCCTCGCTGCCCCAAACACCCGGAGCTTCCTTAGGAGCCTGGCTGGACCTTAACCTATCTTCACACTTGGAGGCAGGCAGCACCACAGGTGTGGAGACCTGGAGTGGGAGGCAGAGAAAGCGGCAGGGGCTATTTCATGGTCACAGAACAGCCCAGGTCTGGGAGTGCTCAGGACATGGGCCTGTACCCCTTCCCCCAACCCCCGCCCCGCACCCGGGACTCAGGCACCTCCTAGGTTGGCTTCCTTTTGTGTCCTGGAGCATCCACAGAACTTCTTCCCCACTTTCTCGTGCCCCTTCTCTCCTTTAACATATTCTATCAGACCTGCACAATCTTGGGAATATCTTTGTACTTGTAGAGACAACATGCCCACTGGTAAGGACGTTTCAGTTTTAATTACTATTTTTTCCAATTCCAGGACAAAGACTCACGTGTGTTGTAGTTTTCCAACCTAAGCCGATGGTTCAGGACCACTGGGGGCCTGGGACTATGCATTACTAAGTTCCCTCATGATTCTGATGCATATTCGAGTAGAGAACCACTGAGCTGAACTTTCTAGAAGCCCTCTACATTGGTGAATTGGGGAGCATTTTGTAGTTTGGGGATCTTAACTAAGAGCAATAGGAATAGATAATCTCTTCTACAACTGGAACATGCTGCTGAAACGTCAAGGTGACTGACAGCTGAGAAGAGGAAATGAGTTTGGTGATTAGACGAGGCCTCAGCAGTGGGGTGGCTCAGTTGGTTCAGTGTCTGTCTTTGGCTCAGGCCATGATCTCACAGCTCGTAAGCCCCGCGTCAGACTGTCCGCCGTCAGTGCAGAGCCTGCTTTGGATCCTCTGTCTCCCTCTGTCTCTGCCCTTTCCCCACTCTCTCTCTCTCTCTCTCTCAAAAATGAACATTAAGAAAAAGCCTCACCAGTGCGTTTCAAGAGAAGCTAGTCCAGGCAGTGGTGAGGGGTAAGCCATATTATCCTGCAGGAGTTTAAGGGCAAACACGGGTACTTGAGGGCTTACTATGTGCCAAGTACTTTTCTAGATGTGACTGTGACAGTGCCATGAGGTTGCTATCTTAAGCTCACTTTACAGACCAGGTTAAGCCCAATGGTGAAGACAGGCTTTTTGCCCAGCTACATCCGCCCTTCTACCCCCACACCAGAGCTCCCCTACAGGGAGAGAAGGCCGCAGGAGAGCAGCTACAGTCAGAATGATGGTGCATGTGATCTTCACTGCCACTGAGGGAAGGGATGAACAGACTACCTCGAGAGCTGTGGGAAGGCACTTCTATCCCTTTTCCCAGCCAACATCAAATTCCCTCCCAGGGAAATGCCGTAGACAGCCATTGAAAAAATACGGACTTCTTTGTCAGACCAACATGGGTAAGAAATATGCTACCTTTCACAAGGTGTGTGACCTCCAACAAGTCATTTAGCTTCATTACAGCTTAGTATTCTCATCTGGAAAATGGGTGTGACTACAATGATCTCATGAGACTGTTGGGATAACTGAATGGAGTAACAGAGATAAAGCATTTATTTATTTATTTATTTTACATTTATTTTTGAAAGAGAGAGACAGAGCACAAGTGGGGGAGGGGCAGAGAGAGAAGGAGACACAGAAACTGAAGCAAGCTCCAGGCTCTGAGCTGTCAGTACAGAGCCTGACGCAGGGCTCGAACCCACGAACCATGAGATCATGACCTGAGCTGAAGTCGGATGCTTAACCAACTGAGTCACCCAGGTGCCCAAAATCAAAGTCATTAAAACAAAAATTTTTTTAATGCTCATTTACTTACGAGAGAGAGAGAGAGAGAGAGAGAGAGAGAGAGAAAGAGAGAGAGAGAACGAGTGGGGGAGGGGCAGAAAGAGAGGGAGACACAGAATCCGAAGCAGGCTCCAGGCTCCAAGCTGTCAGCACAGAGCCCGACGCGGGGCTCGAACCCACAAACCACGAGATCATGACCTAAGCCGAAGTCGGACGCTCAAGCGACTGAGCCACCCAGGTACCCCCAGAGAGAAAGCATTTAGCACAAAGCTAGCACAAATGCTAGCACAAAGCCTGGCACGTTGAGCAGGTCTTTGCGGAGTGTGAGCTGTTGTTATCAAATGGAACCTGTGCGTCAATACTACACCTGCAGCAAGTTTGGGGTGAAAGACAGTGGAGAAATCAAGGAGGAGCTTCAGGGGCCGTCGAGCAGAAGGAAGACTTTCTTTCCTTTTTCAGCATAGGGAAGACCAGAGCATACTTCTAGGGAGAAGTGAGAGAGACTCTGGATAAAGAGAGGGAGACAGATTGAAGAAATGATGGGAGAGTAAATCATCATTAAATAAGATCTTTGTAGAGAGAGGAAAGGATGGAGAGGGAAGTCCAGGTAAGAGAGACAGACAGCTCTTCTGCAGCAACGGGACAAAAGGGAGAAAGAGGGTGTTGCAAGAGAAGGTGAAAAGACATGCGTCAGGTGACCTGCATGCTGGTGAAGTCATCAGGAACGGTTTTAGACCAGCCAGTGTCTCCAGGAGGAGGGGGAGTCGAGAAGTACTTTTGCAATGACAGCATAAGGGCTTCTAAAATCCACTCCTCCATACAAGTGACACTGGCAAACACAGGACATACAAGGACATACAAGGACACTGACAAACACAGTCAAATTCAACTTTTTCTGAACTCTGGGCATTAACCAAAGACTTACAACATTCTGAGCAGCATTCATTCAAAAACAAACAGCTGACTGTTGGTAAGAAGAGCCAGCTTTATGGCGGGCTTAATTCCCATCCCGTTTGCCCCGGGTCTGTGGTAGCTCTGAAGACCACATTCTCTTTCATCCCTACCTGACTGTAAGGAGAATCTTGATGCATAGCTTCCATTTAATAATAATGCTAGTTAACACTCCAACAATGTTGGTTGGCAAAATGATGCTTTTTAACTTTCGGTGGACATGATGCCATGTGTCCATCCCATGCATAGAGCCTGGGATGATGAGGCTCAGGCTCTTGCACTTGTGAACTCTATAGGAACTCCCACCTCCAAATGGAACGGATACTATTTCTTATGAAGAAATTCATGAACATAGGAAAAATCCCAATTGAGAAGTAAATCAACTGTATTCATGTAGTGAGAAGTAAGATTACCCCCACCTCTTCCTAAGAATCCCCAGTTTCCCTTCCTTGAGTCAAGTCGTGGACCCTTCCAGAAATGTTTTATGTACACGTAAGCATCTGTGTGCACATATCTACATAGATTCTTTTCCTTTTGTGCAAATAGCATATGATACACACAGCTCTGCACTTGGCTCTTCTCCCTTACTGTTATATCTTGGACATGCTTCACCATCAGAGCCCACAGATCCGCCATATTTGTTTTACTGGCTGCATGGAATCCTACTGTATGGATGAAGCACTAAGTTCTTTTCTTTTCCTTTCTTTTTTTGGAAACATTTATCATGGCAAATTTCAAACATACACTCTAGTAAAGAGGGCAGTACAGTGGATTATCATATATCTGTTTCTCAAATTTAATAATTATCAACTTATGGCCAATCTCATATCATTTTAATGCCCACCAGCTCCCACTACACATGGATTATTTCTGAAGAAAATATCAGAAATCATATGATTTCACCAGTAAATAACTCAATTTATATTTCTAAACTACACAGACTTCAAAAAACCCCACAAGATCATCGTATCTTAAAAATAGCACTAATTCCTTTATATCAAATATCTTGTGGATGCTCAAATTTTCCTTGTGTTCTCATTTAAAAAACATTTTTAAAGGTGTCTCAATCAGGATCCACAGAAAGTCCATGGATTACAACTGTTGATATCTCATGTATCTTTTCATCAAAGTTTCCAATTGGAAATTTTCCTTCCTCCTCTTTTTCTTGCAATTTATTTGTTGAAAAAAATAGGCAAAGAGTATTTGTCCCATAGAACTTCCAACAGCCTGAAATTTGCTGACTCTATCCCTGTGGTTTAATATGTTCCTCAATGGGCTGAGGGTCCCTAAGTAGCATTCAGAATAAGGAGGAAATTTTATAGAGATAGATGGGTATAAGGATATTTATCACAGTTTTGTTACGACAGTGAAAAAATGGAAACAACATAAATATTCAATGATAAGAGCAAGCCTAAATCAGATATGCTATTCTATGAAATATCATATGGCTGTTCAAGTCATGTTTTTGTGGTGTGCCCGGATGGCTAAGTCGGTTAAGTGTCTGACTCTTGGTTTCGGCCCAGGTCACAATCTCATGGTTCGTGAGTTTGAGCTCCACGTTTGGGATTCTGTGTCTCCCTCTCTCTCTGCCCCTCCCTCTCTCTTTCTTAAAAATAAGTATGCAAACACTTTTTAAAAATCATGTTTTTGAAGAATATTAAGGTAATATAGAAAGAAATCGTATAGAAAGATGCTTATGTAACATGAACAAATTAGAATAGAAAGCAGTATACAAACAGCACAATGCCGATTTTGTTTTAAAGACATTAAAATACCTTTTAATGTTTCTGAGTCATAAGACCATCTTGTGTTTAAATCCCCCACCGTGAACATGCATAACTTTTATAAACAGATATTTCAGTAAACATAAAAGATGCGGGATCCCACATCATCTCCTATGACTCTAAATGTGTATATTTAGTGAACATTTGGTTCTCTGTGGTTACAAGAATGAGTCATGGCACTCCTTGGACAGCTGAGGAACCCAGAAAAGGGAGCTCTGGGCAGGGCTGGGCATGGGGTGTGGGCATGCTTATTCTGAGGGGACTGTGGCGTGAACTCCTGATCAGGAGTCATGGTCCTGGAGCAATGACTTTGGCCTTGGCATGTGGGTGGGGACGGTGCTTCTGTGGGGTTGTACACCCTGCATGGGGGTGGTAGGGGGCGACACTCCTGTGGTGTAGGAAGCACCCCATGGATGGCCCCACCACGGAAAACCCAGGGTGACGGGAGGAGTGTACTCACGTTTCACCAAGAGAGTCCAGCCACAGGACACCTGGCCTTGGACATTGGAGGCCGTGCAGCTGTAGTTCCCACTGTCCCTGGCCCGCGCTCTGAGCAGGCAGAGGTGATGGCATCCGCCTTCCTCATAAACCTCAACGATGCCTTCTCGTCTTCTCACGGGGGCACCTTCCAGGAACCAGGTCACTTCAGGCTTCGGGGTCCCTGAAACTACAGGGCCAGGCAAAGGGCATGAGGCTCCCAGAAAGCGTACTGTGCCAGTGGGGCGGGCGGCATGCTGGGCCCATGGGAGGAGCTAGGGCTGGTGTGAGCTGCCCTCCCACTGAAGAGGCTCTTACCCCTCACCCTGCACTGTGCAGGAGTAAACATCTCAAGATGGAGGCAGGGTCCTTGGGGAGGACAGACATAGGATGACAAGCCAGGTCTCCAGATCAGCCAAAGCCAGCAGAAGGGAGAAAAGAGGAGCCCCTGTGGCTTGTTTTTTGATGGTGATATTGATGATGGGTTTTCCCCTCTAGAGTGGTAAGAATTAGGGCACAGGGCCGAGGCCCTATCCAACAACGAACATCGGGCCACTGCTGGGTGTTTCTCCAGAACAAGGCACATTACTAGGCTGAGTCCTTCCTGAGGGAAGACCCCTGTGAGGTGGCTTCTGGGCCAGGTGGGAGGGAGTAGCCACCCAGGGGCTACATTGGTGAGGTGGGGTGGGGCAGTGACCCTCTTCAGCTCTACTCACCCTCACATCTGAACTTGACTATTTGATCTTCACTGACTTCCTGGCTTTGGGGCTTGCTTTCAAATTTGGGGAATGTGTAATCCCTCCGGCTCTCCATGGGGATTTTCCTGGTAGCAACCTTGCTCACAACCTCCTGGCTTCCCAGGCCAGAATGCCTGGTGGGGAGGGTGGCCGGAGGGGGGGCAGCTGGCCTCTCCCCGTCTTCTCCAGAAGGAGAGAGGGCGCCCGAGGCCAGTGCTCTTGTTTCCGGCTGGACTTTTGCGGCCTGCAGGGTGATGGTGCTGGAAGTCTTCTGCAGGATGGGGCTGCTCAGGGCTTTCCTAGGTGGGTCCCCAGACGGCTCCAGCTTGGACTCCCGCAGGGGCTGAGGATGGCTACCTGTAGCCCAGGTCGGGGAGCCACCTCTCTGGGTGCCGGAGCAGTTTTTTCTTTCAGCTGCAGGCTCCAGGCTGCCCAGTTTCAGCCCCTGCGTGGCTCCATTGGTCACTTCCTTCCTGATATCTGATTTGGCTGCCTTTGTTCCTCTCACAAATGACCTGTGTGGTGGTGGTTTGGCAGGGGGAGGGGCGGGCAATGGGGAGGGAGGAGGAGAAAGAGAATGATCATCTGGTTACTCACAAACACTACTCTTCACGGGATCATGAAAGCCTACCAATTAAGACAGAGTACAGGCAAAGGTCTCTCTCTGCAGCTTTCTCAGCTTCCCAACCCAGAAGGCAAGCAGTCATTCCTGACACTTCCCTGCCCCTCATCCCAATCCAGAATCCTGTCTGCACTTATCCAATCAGCCTTTTTTCTCCCCCTCCACCCAAGTGCCACCCTAGTTCCCACCACACAACTGGCTCCCCCTTGTCCCCGCTGGCCCCCTCTGATCTGTTTGGTTCTCTGCATCCATTTTGGATTCTGCGTGAGAAGCACAGCTGATCTTTGCTGCACTGAGCTTCTCAAGATGGCCCATGAGAGCCGGCTCCTGCTGCCTCCTGGACCTCACAAGACTATCTTCGACGCCTACCATGCTACAGCCACACACGTGCTCTTGTGGCTCCCCTCCGTACCCCCCCTCTCCTGAGAATGCTCCCTCCCTGAGCTTTTCCTCTTCTGGTTAACACCACCCTTCAAGGGCCTGAGCTCAATGTCAAGTGTTCAGGATGGGCTTCTCTGAACCTCCAATCTAAATTAGCGCTGCTCATTACCCTTCCTCAGATGCACGGCAGCTGGTAACTATCGTAGCTCCGCTGAAAGCCCCTTCTCTCCACCAGATGTCTGCCCACCCTGCAGACCCAGCATCTAGCCCCGGGCCTCACGCATGGACAAGGAAGCTCCTGATGAAGACGTGCTACATGGGCGAGTGGATTCTGCCTGGCACAGCACCCTTCCTAATGACTGCTAACTGGTAAAGGCATTGGCCAGACTCTGGGAAAGATGACAGCATTGTGTGTTCAAGAGTCTCACTACGATGGCAAGCCTACTACAGAACCTGTATGGCCTCCTGCAACAGGAGAATGAGACCAAACACAACCATGTCCCCCAACAGTCAGTTCTCCCTCCTATATGACGACTCGGAAATTCGAGGCATTTCTCCATTACAACCTCTTTTCTTGCAGGGCATCCCAAGATGGAAACAACGACTACAAGCCTAGACATACCTATTGGCATTGTCCAAACCTGGAAAAAGGGAGAGGGGTAGACTGTTAGTGGAATATTACAGGTACCGAGAGGAGAAAGTGATAAGACAACACTGTTTTTCATTTCTTATGGAGTGTTCACGTCCCCAGCTCCCACTCTGCCCCTCACCTCCACTCCTACCTCCCTCACTCCCTCAGCTTCCTGGTCCTGAACTACTCAAGTAGATCTGATGAGCTCCTCTGAGCCCTCCCCTGAGACAATGTCAACATTTCCAGGGCTTCCCTGGGCCATCTATGGTGGCCTCAGTGGCCATACTCTGTGCCACGGGACCTGTCCTGTTCACTAGCCACAGAAGGAAACCAATTATGGGACAAACAAAAATAAACATCTGAAAAGTTCAAACCCAAACAGTTTAACTTACATATGGCCCTAGAAAACAAACTTCCCAAAGTGACCAGTTTTCACAAGTACTTGCTTTAAAAATATACAGGGATGGGGTGCCTGCGTGGCTCAGTCGTTTAAGCATCCAACAGCTCAGGTCATGATCTTGTGGTCTGTGAGTTTGAGCTCTGCGTCCAGCTCTGTGCTGACAAGCTAAGAGCTTGGAGCCTGCTTTGGATTCTGGGTCTCCCTCTCTCTCTGCCCCTCCCCCGCTCATACTCTGTCTCTGTCTCTCAAAAATAAACATTGAAAAAAAAAATACAGTCAGTTCCTCAAAGAGAAAAAAATACCATATATTTTTTCCTGCCACATTATTTTTTAAAAATTTTATTTTGGAAAATTTCAAAACATACACTAGTAGAGAGGATATAACAAACTCAGAAAGCCATCACTCAGATTTAAAAACTAGTGACATTTTACCAGTCTTTCTTATCCCTCTTTGTTTTGGTTTTTAGAGGAATTTCTTCTGGGAGTATTTTTTAATAAGTTTATTTATTTTGAGAGAGAGAGAGACAGAGAGAGAACCAGAAGGGGAAGGGCAGAGAAAGAGGGGGACAGAGGATCTGAAGTGGGTTCTGCTCTGACAGCAGAGAGCCCGATATGGGGCTCAAACTCATGACCCATGAGATTATGACTTGAGCCGAAGTTGGACGCTTAACCGACTGAGCCACCCAGGTTCCCCCGGGAGTATTTTAAAACATATCCCAGGCAACGTATCATTTTGCCATTAAGAATCTGAGAAGGGAGCAGTTCTTTAATTCAGTGCTAGGGCAAGTAGAGGGAGTGGTTAAATCACTCTTCTCAATGTCCAACAGTGAGTCTCCATCCCATGGTGAGCTGTAAAGTCTACTTCTTTCAGGACCAGGACTTTTGATAGTATAGGATGGAATAGAGAATACCAGCACATACTGTACATAGTACAACTCGGGATTGTTTTATGAAACTTGTTTTGGTTTGATATGTTTATATATATATATTATGTCCTGGGTTGCAACGTAGAACTCTCTGTGAGTTGAGAAAAACACCTGAGACATCAATGGTGAAGACGGCAAGGAGGAATCGTTTCTGAGACAGGAAGAGGAGATTGAAGGTCATTTCTCTCCCTGACCCCCCCAAATCCCACCTTGCTCAAGGTTCCCACTCTGCGGAGTGATGCCAATCCCCTTCCCTGCCCACACTCCTGCTTCCACAGGCTGGATGTGGCGGAGCCAAGGGGAATGCAAAGAGGAGACATATTCAAAGAGATTTCCTAGGGAGAACTGACAGGGGCCGATGCCTACAGCAAGGAGGAGGCAAGAGTCAAAGGAGATGCTGAAATGCCCAGCCCGGGTGAGAAAGAAAAGCAGAATCCAGGGGTAGAAAGAGTTAAGTTGAGGGAAGACTTGAAGAGAAGGACAGAGTAGATGATAAGTTAAATCTTAGGCAGGTTAAAGTTGAGGTGATGGTGAGACATGAGCAACGTCGACTTTTCCAGTGGCAATTAGAGATACAAAAAGGAGTCTGAGCAAGAAGAAAAGGCTGCAGACACAGGCGTGGGGCACAGTGCAGTGACTAAGTTCAAGATCTCGCCTCTAGGGAAGGCATGGGTATGTGGGCGGGTCAGTGTCACACAGATCTGTAATGAACAGCAGCTCCTTCTAGGAGGGGCCTTCTGCACTGGCCCGCCCACCAGTCGATACCTTGGATAGAAAGCTCGGCCGACATGGAGGCCTTCCCCGACCCATTCACCACCAGGCACGTGTACACTCCCACATCATCTCGGCTGACCTCATGGATTTCCAGAACTTGTACTCCATTCTTCTCAGACATAGATACACGGGCACTTGGCTTCAGGGGAACATCTCCCTGTGGATGGGCAGAGGGTAGTTTGGTCAGAGAAACCTGTTTACCTTTTGGCACTATCCTATCTCCTGCCAGTCCCGGGGGGACAGACACCAGGCACAGGCAGAACCCTTTGCTCTGGGCTCTGTCAATGTGCTCAGAGAGGAGTCCTTGGACAATCCAAGGGCCCTGACTTGAGGTCTATGTGTGTGGTGCGGCATCAGGTCCAGCTTAGAGCAGGCATATGGAAGTTGTTCCAAAGGAGCCCTAGTTCCAAAGGAGCCTAAGACATCCTACATTCCTCACTTTGGTTCTGCTTTGCCTCCCTCTCCTTTATTCTTTTTCCAGGGTCAGTCCAGGAGAATTAGGAAATAGCTAAAAGTGTCCCATCACTCATTTTCATCCAGGAGTTCCATCTATGAAAGCGACTCTCGCAGGCCTTGACCCCAAATGTTCCCCACGTCTCCTCAAGGCCCTGTTCCCCCTCTCCTCTGCTCTGCCTTCACCTTGTCCAGCCCTGAATGAAATACTCCAGACAGTATTTTGAGATAGGTGGGATCATCTCTGCCTCACAGATAAGGAGACCAGGGTTCCAAGAGACAAATGACTTGCCCAGCATCACATGTTTCATGAATGATGGAGCTGTGGCTTGAAACCTAGTCTCATGACTTCAAATTCCACTCTCTTGACATGGTCATGTCTGTACTGACTCAGAAGTTTAATGCTGTTTGGGGAGTATATGGATTATAGGACATTGATGGCTGAGTAACAGAGGCAGAGTGTGCAAATAGGGGCAAGAAGAAGCATGACTACTGACCTACAGAGAACCCTAGAGAACGACTAGAGTTGAAACAGAAGGAACTGATTGGAAAGACAGACTCCTGTCGGTCCAAGGGTCTAACCCTCCACATTCAGGGTCCCCAGGCCTGGGCCAGAGTTGGGGCAGATAAAACCTCACCTTGAGCCACGTGACCTGGGGTTGGGGCCGGCCAGTGATCTTGCAGGAGAACCGTCCCATCTGTCCCTCTTTGACTACGGCTCGACCCAGCTTGGTAGCAAACTTCGGTGGGCACTCTCCCCAGATGCTGGGACGGGTCTCCACCGCGGGGGCTGCAAATCTGTCCCTGGAAAGAAATCAGCAGAGTGCAGTAGCAATTCAGATATTCTCTCTGCCCTCCACCCACGTCACTTAAGTTGGGTCAGATACCAGCAAAGGGCAACCTTCCCAATTCCGTGCCTTAAACACATTTCTCATGTACCCTCTGGAAACGTCTGTGGCACCAAAGCCTATTTCTTCTACCTCCTGAACATCCAACCAGACTTCATATTAGAGCCTCCCTTGAAGTAAGGTATACCTGAATTCTACTGAGCTCTGGCCAAAAGCCTGGGTTTTGGCCAACAGACTGCAAGCAGAAGTGACGTTTGCCACCTCTCAACTCAACCCACAAAAACCGCCTGTGAGATTCTCCACACTCTCTCTCTAGATGCAGAAGATCCAAGAGAAGCTCCAAGGCCAAGAGATGATGGAACCATAAGAAGGAAGGAGCCTGGGTCCCTGAAAGATGATGGCAAGGCTTTCCACCTGTTCAAGAATATCTAAGTGGACTTTGATATAAGTTGTTATAGCAGCAACTGTTACTTATCTTTACCAATACAGGTTTACTTTCCATAAGAGGTGTCACATATTGATTGCCTCTTCTAGGTCTGCTTACTTACATCTTCTGACTATTGCCTTGATTGTCAGTGATCCCTGCAGACTATGGCCACTTCTTCCTCAGCATTTAGCAGTTGAACCAGTCAAAGGGGCTATCCACAGGCATTGTGTGAGGGCCACCTCACATCCCTGTAGGCTCCTGTGTTAAGTTATTATAGCCCAGGATGTCTAAGAATACTCACACCCTAGACCTGGTTCTGCCAGGTCAGCAGGAAAAGCCAATCTGGCCCTTCCCTTGGTTTGAACATTCCACAACTTACCCCAAGGTTTTGGAAACAACAGGCTGACTGTGCTTCTTCACAAAGGTCCCTGCAAGTAGAAAACAAAGAGAGAGAGGCTTGAAGAGTCAGGTCTGAGCCACCAACTCAGAGCAATGAAAGTCAGAAGAGTCAACAACAGGGGTGGGGATGGGATACTGACAGAAACAGTTCACCCCGACTGAGCCTGTCCTGGGCCAGGCACTATGGTGGGCACTTGACATAACATCATTTAAGGAGGCTGGTACTACATTATCCTTCTATGTTTTAAACAGACGAGAAAAAAGAGATTTAGAAAAGTTAAGTTGCTCGCCCAAGTCACAGAGCCAGTAATAGTGCAGAAATGCATCCAGGTGTGCCTGTTGTAGAACACTCAACCATTCTGCTGAACTATCCCATGCCACTGGACCTTCTACTTAGGGGATTATCTGTGGCGATCCAGGGCCTCTCCAGAAGATGAGCCTGTTGAAGGGAAGGAGATGCACACGCATCTCTCACACTAGATCTATTCACATTTGATACAATCAACATTGCCACCAGCACCTCACCAGAATCTGCATCAGCAGCACCGTGGATACTACAGGTCCTCGGTAAGGTGGACAGGAAGCAGTTAAATAGCAAACCCAGTCAGGCAGCTGCTACTGGGGTGGGACAACTCCTAATGTGACCAGGAAGTGACTTTAAAGTGGTGGGGTGTTTTTCAGGAATATGGAGGTTTGGGAAAGGAGGACATTTCCGAGATGGTGATCAGCCTGGAAGTTGTTCTCTTTTTGCCACAACCTGGGAATGTTTATAAAACCCTGCCCAAGGCACACATAGAAGGTGTGGAAGTCATTCCCTGAATATCAGCAGGCAGCTGCAATGGGAAATCTGCAGGGTGTTTACTGGAAGAGGGGTAAACTTCCTTAAATTCTAGCACCGATCACATCTGTAGGAAGGCACAGGAACACGGGAATGGAGACTGCGTATTTCCCTTGGCCATATCAGGTTTACGGATGAATGAACCTTCGTGGAAAAGGATTAACAGCTAACACCAGCATCACATGTAAGTTAAGGTTCCAGTGGATTGTCAATTATTGTACATGTATTTCTGTTTAACACAACTATTCAGTGAATTGTGTATAGTTTTCATTCCATAATGTGGGTTTGGTTCTTGCCATTCAATAGTCTATTCAAGGTTAAAAGAACTTCTAAGCAGATAAAAGGAGAAACTTGTTCTGGGAGGACCCAACTGACAATTGCAATCAAGATGCTGGGGCCCCTCAGACACCTTTGGAGGAAGGGCAAAGCATTCAGTCCTTTTTTAAAGTATTGGAGCGAATAAGAATCATAAGCTCTATGGGGCGCCTGGGTGGCGCAGTCGGTTAAGCGTCCGACTTCAGCCAGGTCACGATCTTGCGGTCCGTGAGTTCGAGCCCCGCGTCGGGCTCTGGGCTGATGGCTCAGAGCCTGGAGCCTGTTTCCGATTCTGTGTCTCCCTCTCTCTCTGCCCCTCGCCCGTTCATGCTCTGTCTCTCTCTGTCCCAAAAATAAATAAACGTTGGAAAAAAAAAAATTAAAAAAAAAAAAAAAAAAAGAATCATAAGCTCTAAAGAGACTCTGGTCTTAGACCAGCACCTTCCTTTCTGTGCCTCCAAATCAAAGGAAGTGATGCTAAAAGTAGAAAAGAAAGTTTACAAAGCTTTTCATTTCAGTCTTCTTGGTAACAGTAAAAATTAGAAACTATAAATGTCACACAGTAGGAAGATAATAAGTGGTTAAGTAAAGTGTACAACTGAACATCTTATCCTGCCACAAGATTATGTTTAAGAATATATGAAACATGCAGAAATACATTGCAGTATTTTATCATTTGCTCTTCGGCATACTTCACTTGGGTGGGCTATGATCCTCTGTACTCTAATGAACTCATCCTGACTACTGTCTTGCCAGACGCAATGGATAATTCTGTCCCCCATCACTCAGGTGCTCAACAGCATTTGACATGGGGCTATTCCACTCCCAAGTACATGCTCCTCCAGACCCTCTGGCTTTTGCCAGGTGCCTACTCTTCGTCAACCACCTTCTCTGTTCCACCTTTGCACGTGGGAGGGCCCGCATGGCTGAGTGGGTCCTAGTTGTGCACTGCTGATTCTCCCCCCCTCCCCACCCCCCCCCACCACAGGAAGTTTTAGATATCATTTATAAGCTGATGACTCCCAAACCATATCCCCACCAGAACTTCTTCTTTTTTAATTTTTTTAATGCTTATTTATTTTTGAGACAGTGAGAGACGGAGTATGAGTGGAGGAATGAAAGAGAGAGGGAGACACAGAGTCTGAAGCAGGCTCCAGGCTCTGAGCTGTCAGCACAGAGCCCCATGTGGGGTTCGAACCCATAGACTGTGAGGTCATGACCTGAGCCAAAGTCAGACACTTAACCAACTGAGCGACCCAGGCGCCCCTCCCCACCAGAACTTCTTATTCATTCATCAGAAGTATCCAGAACAGTGCCCAAATCCTTGTAGGATTCAAATTCTTGTAAAATAAATGAACTTTATGGAAAAAAAAAAAGAGAGAGAGAGAGAGCATCCTACAATATTATGAACTCAATGTGATCTTAACTAGGAAAAAATAAAGCATCCAAGCACAGGAAAACAACCAGAAGAAAATACATCAAAATATTATTAATAGTAATTATTTTTGGGTGGGAGAACTATGAGTAATTTATTCAGCTGTATTTTTTGAAACCTATAAATATAATGGTAAAGAAAAAACAAAATGTAATCTAGTTACCAAAAATAAGGGGGGAAAAAAAGAAGGGGCAGATGGAGAAAGAAAGCCAAAAAAGGAAAAAGATTCTGCTACCCCAACAGAAGACTACTATCGGCTAACACCATGGTATTAGCCACATACCCAATCGCTGAGACGCCCTCCGAAAAATATCTATGTACCATTCACTGCCCTCATCATGCTACTGTATCACTCATTTCATCTCGGAGCAAAGATTTGATAAAAATTAGACTGATTATCTGATGAATGGATATGCAAAATGTGGTCTATTCCTATAATGGAATATTATTCAGCCATACAGAGGAATACAGTACTGGTACATGTTACTACACGGATGAACTCTGAGGAAATTCGCCAAGTGAAAAAAGCCAGACTCAAAAAAATATATGTGATTCCATTTATATGAAATTTCAGAAGAGGCAAATGGATGGAGACAATGCACATTAGTGGCTCTCCAGGGCCTGGGGGAGGCAGATGGGAGTAAATGCTCAGTGGGGATGCCGGGGGGGGGGGGGGGGTCTCTGTTCAGGATGATGAATAGTTTTAAAACTAGATGGTGGTGGGGTGCCTGGGTGGCTCAGTTGGTTGAGCGTCGGACTTTGGCTCAGGTCATGATCTCACAGCTCATGAGTTCCAGCCCCGTGTCGTGCTCTGAGCTGCAGCTCAAAGCCTGGAGCCTGCTTTGGAATCTGTCTCTCTCTCTCTCTCTGCTCCTCCCCTGCTCTCTCTCTCTCTCTCAAGAATAAATAAACATTAAAAAAAATTAAAACTAGATGGTGGTGACAGTAGCACAATATGGTGAATGTACTTACTGCCACTGAATTGTACACTTTAAAATGGTGAAAATAGTAAATTGATGTGTATTTTAACCACAATAAAAAAAAATAGGCTAAGCATTTTTAAGACTCTTGGGAGCTAAACATCTTAATCCAAAGGCTAAAATTCCTGTATTACTTAAAAAAAAATAGAGCAAAAATATGGCACTGCCTAAAAGAACAGGAAAAGAATGCTGTCTGGAGGAACTTTTATATCAGGGTGAGAGCAGTTTATGGTATGATCCAAAGGTAACACACCAAGCAGGCAGCTAGAAATGGAACAGAGTGCTTATTTTAATGTGAGTTAACACTGGAGAGTGGACATCAAAACCAAAAGAGAATGTGGGCTAAAATAACCAACAAGGTCTATTTATAGGCAAAAATTTGAAGTTGCAAGTTGTCAGATAAGGCAAAATTAATTTTGTGAAAGTATGAAAATCTGGCAGAACAGTAAGGCTAGGGAAGAAAATAAGTGGAAAGGGGATTAGGATGGAAATGCCAAAAATAGAAGAGTAGGTTAAGAGAACTGGTGAAGACAGGATCGAGTTAGTGAGGGGGGAAGAAAAGGCCAAGGCACTGAAAATATTGAACCAGTTCTCTTAGATTTTTCAAGGACGAGTAAAAGAGAACGCTGGCAGGTTTTAGGAGTGAAAAGTTCAACAGTGGAGGGAACGAGGGTTTTTTTGTTAAAGGACACATAAAGACCGGGTTGAGACAGAGAATGCTGCCGACAAGATGGCAAGGAGAAGTGATGCTTCCAAAGTACGTGATGATATAACTATCACCCAGACAGGGACTCTCTGCACTGGAAGTGACATAAGTAATAATTCTGCCAGGACAACAAAAGTAAACCAGGATTGTTCTAGGCAAACCAGGGAGCAGATGCCCTACTTTGCAGGCAACTTCAGAGTGGATTTTAAGGACTGCTTAAAACAGTGTTGTTGTTGTTGTTGTTGTTTTGAAGTTATTTATTTATTCATTTACAGATGAGGGGAGGGGCAGAGAGAGAGAGGGAGAGAGAGAATCCCAGGCAGGCTCCACGCTGTCAGTGCAAAGCCCGACACTGGGCTCATCTCACAAACCATGAGATCATGACCTGAGCCAAAATCAAGAGTCGGATGCTGAACTGACTCGGCCACCCAAGTGCCCTCAAACAGTGGTTTTTATCAGAAAAAAATGCCCATTTTTTATAACAGATATTTAGTAATGCCCCCTGTGCCATCCTAAATTAAAGTTTACTGCTAACTCCCATATTTCATCTCAAGAAGAAAATATAAAGCCCCAACTAAAATATTAAGGGAAAATAAATTATAATGATACTGATTTCAATATGTAAATGTCCAACCATGACTATTTCAGTATGTAAATGCTCAGGTGCACTAGAAGACACGATGAGGTCAGATGCTCACACCGATTCATGGGCATATTTGGATTTAAAAGCAAATGATGTAGAAAAGCACTGTACG